CTCCCCTCCCCTCCCCTCCTCGGTCGCACCTCCAGCCTGGACGGGTCTCCTGGGAAGATCCTCCGTTCTCCCCCACCAGGCAGGCACTGCTGCCCTTTCTCCCCACGCCCCTTCCCCATCCGGCACCCCTTCCATCTTACCTTCTCTTTCAATAAACAGCTGGGACGGATACTGACTTTTCTTCTTTTCTCCCTGACCATGGGGCATGGGTAGAGAGGAAAAAAGACTGTTAGGAGCTCCTACCATGTGCTGGGCACTTAAATCCACTATATCTCATTAGCTCCTCACCGTAACTCTTTGAGAAAGGGGACTATAATCTTCATTTTACAGATGAGTTAACTAGTGGTCAGAGAAATGGGGTGGATTTAAATGCTAACTTGTTGGCGGGGCGCCTGGGTGACTGTCGGTTTCCTCTCTGCCTTAGGCGGAGGTCATGATCCCAGCCTCCTGGGATGGAGCCCCGAATTGGGCTCCTTGCTCAGTGAGGGGTCTGCTTGCCTCTCTCCTTCTACTCCTCCCCCTGCCTGTGTTCTCTCTCTCTGTCGAATAAATAAATAAAATCTTTGAAAAAATTTAAAAAAAAATGCTAACTTGTTGGGAAGGAAATTTCTCTACCGTCTTGACAACCTACTGCCCCCCTCCCTGAGAGGACATGAAGCCCATGAAGCCTGGAGCTCTGGCAGAGGGAGCTGGAGCCAAAGCTGGGATCTTTTCCAGGGCAACTCGAGCAGCTAACTCCCATGAGCACTTACCAGAGGCCAGGTGCTGTTCTCAGTGCCTTACAGACACACATTCGTTCACTTACCCTCCCAACAATCTAGGAGGTAGGGACTCTTATTCCCAAATTTGGCTCCCAGAAGGCAGGTTTGTATTTCCAACCATGTTCACCTACCTGTTGAGTCCCGGCTCACCTATCCCAAACTGTTCCTGGCAACCCCCCGCTCCAGACCTGCCCCTGCTGCACCACCTGCCCCTTAGAGGGTGGCAGTTCCAGCTCCGTGCTGGCTCTAGCCAGACCCTTGGAGTGACCCTTGGCTCCTGTCTTCCCTCACGCTCTGAATCCCACCCGGCGGCTAGCCAGCCTCGCAAATACAGCCTGACCCAGCCACTTCTCTCTGTCCTCACAGCTTCTCCCTGGCCTGAGCCACCATTGCCTCTCCCTGGTCTCCTGGCTTTCCCCTTCTGTGCTCCCCCCACACCCTCTATGAGTCTAATCTTTGCAGACCCAGGCAGATCCAGGTATAACCAAGGTTAGGTCATGCCCTTCTCTGCTCGGAACGTCCCATGGCTCCCACCTCACACAGTAAAACCAAAATCCTCGGTGGCTGTAAGGCCTTACGTGATTTACTGACCCTCCCTTCTCCTCTCTACCCCTGTGACCTCAACTGTCTCCCTTCCCATCTCCTCTTCCACCAGACCGGCCTCCTGGTTTTTCCTCCAACATCAAGGCCAGCTCTTGCATTGGGCCTTTTGCAGAGCTCTTCCCTCTTCCCACAGGAAAGTGTACCCTGGCTCACTACCTGGCCACCCCCCTCACTCCGTTCAAGTCTGCACAAATGCCCCCCTTTCAGCAAGGCCTTCCCTGAGCAGCCTGTTTTAAAATGCGACAACCCTCTACCCATTCCCTGTGCACTTTGAAGTTTGGTGTTTGCTTTCCTATAGCATTTATCACCTTTCAGTATACTACATAACTTACATATTTGTTATATTAGTGTTTGTTATCTGTCTACCCCTGCCGCAGTATGATCGCTGCAAGAATGAGAATTTTTGCTCCCTTTGTTTACTGACATATCCCAAGTAGAAAATACCTGGGACAGAGTAGATGCTCGATAAAAATGTGTTGAATAAATCAATCGTAGTTTTCTAGATAAGGGCAGTGAGGCTTGGGAACATTGAGTAGCTTGCACAAGGATGCACAGGTAGCAAGGGGTGGAGCTGGGGTTCAAATGCAGGCAGTCGAACTCCTGAGTCCACAGCCTGCGCCACGGTATTGCATTGCCCCTTGGTTTGAAGGCACAGAGCTGGGGAGACAATATCAAATGCCCATAAACCTATTTAGGAATGTTTGTTGCCCTGTGGAAATGTGAGTACAGTGTGAACAGATTTTTTTTTTCCAGAGAAGTTAGAATCCAAATTTGTATATGAGATGTATCCATTTTTTAAACATTTGTATCTGTTTCAAAACTTGACTAAGCACTGAGCAAGAAGAAACATTCCCAGGGACAGCTTCAACTCACGAGTGGCCCTGTGTGACCTCTGACCCGGACACTCTGAGTTAGTGCCCACAGCTGGGCAGGACCAGGGATGGAATTTCACACTGACAAAATGGCCCCGGAAGTGGAGGTAGGCCTCCACCCCCAGAATATCCGTGTCGCATTAGCTTTCCTTCCCAGCTGCCATGGAGGAAGCCAACCCTGGTCTGTAACCTCAATAAATCCCAGGCCCCCACAAAGCCCCGTCCCCACAGAGTTTCTCTTTTCAGAGAAGCAGAATCCAATAACCAAAGTTAATTCCCACCAAGGCCAATTGTCGCGTGAATCCTTAAAGAACGTTAAAGGGGGCTGTTTCCCTGTCATACTTGGCTAGGGGGGATGTGTACTGGGTTCAATATTGTTTCGCCAAAGTTCATGTCCACCTGGAGTCTGTGAATGTGACTTTATTTGGAAATAGGGTCTTTGCATATATAATAAAGTTAAGATGAGTTCTCATTGGATTAAGATGGGCCCTAATCCAATAACTGGCCCTAGTAAGAAAGGGAAAGGGAGATTTGGACATGCCAGACACACAGAGGGCAGATGCCACATGAAGACAGAGGCAGAGTCTGGAGTGATGTGGCTATAAGCCCGGGATTGCCAACGGTTGCCTGTAACCAGAAGCTAGAAGAAGCAAGAAAGTCTTCTTCCCTTACGATTTCAGAGGGAGGGTGGCCTTGCCAACTCCTTAATTTCAGACTTCCAGCCTCCTAAGCTGTGACACAATACATTTTTGTTGTTTTAAGCCACGTAGTTTGTGGTACCATGTAGAGCAGCCTGACCTTGGGAAAGCTGAAGTGAAGACATGCCCCAAAATACCTGACCAGCCTCTTCAGAAGTGCCAACATCACAAAAGACAAGGAAAGACCAGGAAACTGTCACTGATTGGAGGACAGTGAGCAGACATGGCTGAAGAGTATATACAAATTCTCTCTATTGTCTCTGCAACTCTTCTACAAATCTAACATTACTTTTTAGCGAGACGACCAAGGGGACGTCATCATTTGGAAAGCGTCGCAGTAAGATGCCCATGTCAAGCTGCCCGCCGCTGTGTCTCTCAGGCCTACCACCTTCAGAAGTCGACCTGCGGCAAATGTGGCTAGCCTGCCAAGCAGAAGAGAAGGTATAACTGGGGTGCCAAGGTAACGAGACGAAATACCACTGGGACCTGACGGATGAGGCACCTAACAATTGTTTACCACAGATTCAGGCCTGGATTCCGCGAAGGAACAACACCTCAGCCCAGGAGGACTTCTGTTGCAGCCTCCAGTCCATCTGAAGGATTTCAATGACGAGCCACCCAAGAAATGTTCTGGTTTAAAATAAAATATAAAAAAATAAAATTTTTTTTTAAATAAAAAAAGGTAAGAATACAGTTGTTCTTGTCAAGATGGAGTAACAGGAATCAGGATCACCCTCCCATCTGAGAAAAACAAAGGACAGACCAGGAACCAAGGGAGTGAGGGGAGCCCTACAGCGACCCCAGCTGACTTCCCTGGGAGTTTCCAGGCTGTGGCTCGGATTGTAATACTTTCAATAAATGAGGAAACAAGTAGACAGAAAATCAGTAAGGGTATCGGTAAGGGCAGATTTGGACGACTCTATCACCCAACCTAATTGACATTTGCAGGATGCTCCACCCACAACAGCAGAATACACAAGACCTTGGGCCTTGGTGGCTCCTGGAGACCCAAGGGGCGCTCAGGGGACTGAACTGAAGAGACACAGAGCCCATAGCTGCCTCGGGTGCCCTCTGGTGTTCCTTCGAGGTGGTGGCAGCTCAGCCAGTTGACCGCTTCCCCCACCTCAGAGGGAAGCTGGGTTTCCTGCTGCAAGCATTCCCTCCTCTCTGAGGTGGGCTGACCTGGGGGGGGGGCTGATGGTCTTGTGGGGGGGAGGTTCACCTTCTGCTCCACCCCTTTCTTTCCCAGAGGCTGAGCTCCGAGAGGCTGCCCCTCCCTCCTGTTGAGTCTCTGCATCCCTACCCACCCAGGGGAAGAGGTGACTTCTCAAGCCCAGCTTCAGAGGAGCTCCTCCACCTCACCCCTGACTGGATCAAAGAAAGCATGATCTGAGGCCACTGTCCGGCCTCTGGGGCTGCTATGTCAGGGCAGGGAGCTGAGATGCCCCAGGGCGGGACAGAGAAGCGAAGTCATATTGATAGAGATGGGGAAGGTGTTAGTGGAGGGGGCAGTGAGAGAGCCAGCCCTGAGGCAGACGACCAGCAACATTCACGGCCTGACTCTTTGTCCCAAATTGAGAGCAGGCTGAGAGGGGGCGCAGCCTGCCAGGGTTCAAGTCACTGTGTGAGCCCAGGCGATCCCTCACCCCTCTGAGTCTCAGTGTCTTTTCCTCTAAAATAGTGCCAACAAGGGGTGTCTGGGTGGCTCAGCCCATTAAGCATCTGCCTTCGGCTCAGGTCATGATCCCAGGGTCCTGGGATCGAGCCCCGCATCAGGCTCCCTGCTCCACGGGAAGTCTGCTTCTCCCTCTTCCGCTCCCCCTGCTTGTGCTCTCTCTCTCTCTGACAAATAAAGAAATTAATTATTTAAATTTTTTTTTTAAAATAGGGCCAACAAGAATGCCCATCTCTTGAGAGTGTGAAGACCTAGGAGCTACACATAGTGCTTGGCACGTAGGAG